CAAAATATCTCTATAACCTTCTAAAAGACCTAGGCCTGTCGAGAACTGCAATAAGTTCAATTTTGGATCGAGTAACTAAGGCTGCACTAACAGGCTCGCTGACATGTCACTTTCCCCACTCTTGGTATTCAGTCAGCTCTACCACCATTCACACCCGAATATCTGACTATACCATACTGAAAGGTTTTTATAAAACTAAGATAGGGCTCCATTTTAAATCGAATCAGGTATCGTAAAAAAAACCGGTCAAATGCGTGTTGGAGTCGCACACGAAGGGTACCATTGTAAATAACTATATCAGACAAGGAGGATCAAAGGCTAAGAAGGGCGGGAAACTCTAGCAGTGAAAGTGACTGTTGATGCGCATCTCAAAGGAGGCCTCCTTAAACCTACACCTGGATCGCAAGTCCCTGGAACTGGTCAGTTTCTCTCTCTCCCACACGATGGATCCGGCACCCACACGGTGAATCCATGGATTGAGACCCCAGCACGAGTTTATCACGAGAATAATAACTCTGTCAAGTTATAAGTACATTATTTTGGGGCGGGTTCTTTATTTTATTTTCAGTATGTTAGACAACAAGTTAGTGTCGATTTTTTAGTATTGAAATATTCTGAAATTGTATTCCAAAGTATAAAACAATCATTATTCAACGAATCCATATTTAGAGTTACAGTTTGGTTTGATATTATTGTAATTGCTTAGTTTTTTTTAATATTTAATTGTAACTTGTTTTGTGAGCTAATAAATAAATAAAAAATCTAAATCAAATTTTACAATGTTTTGACAATTAAGGTAGTTTTCACCTTATAAGGGTGAAAACTACAAACAGCGCTCATCGGCATGATAAAAGACGGTAAGAGCCTAAATCAAACTTTTTATGCAAATCGATGCACGACCAAAAAAGTTGCGAGGTTTAACTTTTTTTGGCTTAATTTCCTGGACTATTGCTACTTTCGCTGTTTTTATATCCATCACACAACTGTTTCATACATTATTCACAGTGTCAACACCATTGTTAGGTAAACAGGACAAAAGATATGAGTTATTTAAATATGGCATTGCATAGATAAATGTACTCTTAATACGAGTTTTACAATATTACAAAAACTATGGTAGTTTTCGTGAGCTCGCACTCGTACTAAGGGTACTGATATTATTGTTTTCGTTTCAACACAAATAAGCAGTGTTTAAATTCGATCATAAAATCATTTGCGTCTTCTTAAATTTTAAGTATATTTAGTTATTTTTCACCAAAATGGAGATAGAGACATAATTTACAGTTACGAAAACTATGATAGTTTTTGTGAGCTCAAACTCTTACTAAGGGTAATGAATGATTGGTCTCGCTTCAAGCAAGACCAATGTATGTGGCATGGCATTGATCAATTTATTTTCTTCGTTCGTGTCTGTCGTAGGGGTCGCAAACCGGGATACCGAATTTCGAAAATACCGGAATACTGGGTCAAATTTAGGTCTAATGAATACCGGTATTCATTTCACAAAAACCGGGATATTCGTTATTTTCGGTTTTAGTAAAATAAATAAATAACAAATACAAATAGAAAAAGTTACTTGCCATTTAATTCAAAATACGCGCGCGCGCGAGTTCGTTCACCTTAAGACAAGACGAACTTCCCGCTCTCTGTCCCGCGCAATGATTAGCGAACGAGCCAATGTCGTGGCGCGAACGGTGCAAGTGAGTAAGATTAACTCACTTCCCAGGCTGTAACACTAAAGACAACCAAGAATGGGATGATGAGATATCCGCGGTTCCGGATTTAGCTGACTGGACAACTGCACGCAAATCATTAAACTCAACACATTAACTTGGGCCATCAAAAGCTTCCTCCCTTTTAAAGCAGCTGGACTGGGTGGCATCTTTCCGGGCCTACTGCAATGGTGCGAAGAATCGATACTCGAGCATCTACTGCGAATTTACACAGGATGTCTTGCCTATCGGTACATACCCACTAAGTGGAGAGAGGTTAAAGTTATATTCATACCCAAACCAGGTAAAAGTGACTTCTCGCAACCTAAAGCATTCAGACCGATAAGTCTCACATCATTCCTCCTAAAGATGCTGGAGAGAATGTGTGACAGGAACTTGAGAGATGATGCTCTAAAGCGTGTACCACTTCATGCAATTTAACACGCCTACAGCATGGGCAAATCCACCGAATCCGCATTACGTAGTCCGAATAGAACCTGGATTATCACCAAAACAATCAACGCTCGGAGTCTTCATTGACATTGAAGGCGCCTTTGATAAAACAAACTTTACCAGCATCAGCCAAGCACTTGTCAGACATGGAGTTGACCCCACGACTGCGGGGTGGATCAATAACATGCTAAAATACAGAGCAATACAAGTGACTGTGAACACCACGAAGAGAGCTGTAGTGGCACGGGGTTGCCCACTCTCCTCTCCTGTGGAACATTGTGGTTAACGAATTAATTTTCCAACTCAATCAACGCAACTACTACACAGTTGGCTATGCGGACGACCTAGTTATCCTCATAAGCGGGCCATTCCAGAATGTGCTGTGCAACTTAATGAGTAACGCTCTCAAGATAGTCGAAGCCTGGTGTACTAAACCTGGTGTTTGGTCGGATTCACCCATAGTTGCTTATCGGTGAATCCGACCAAAACAGAGATGGTAATGTTCACGAAAAAATGTAACTTGGATACGGTTAAATTGCCCAAGTTATTTAATACCGAACTGTCTATGTCAAGCGAGGTCAAATATCTAGACATAGTTCTTGATCATAAGCTAACATGGAACAGCCACTTAGACCAAAAGATAAACAAAGCCTGCATCACGTTTTGGCAATGCAAAATTCTACTTGGTAAAACCTGAGGTCTTGCACCAAAAATCACAAAATGGCTTTACACAACCATAATCAGACCACTCATCACCTACGGTGCAATAGTTTGGTGGCCTAGAACCGAACTCAACACCGCAATTAATAAACTTCAGCGTTTTCAAAGACTAGCATGCTCTGCTATAACAGGCTGCATAAAAATCCACACCCACAAACGCCCTAGAAATAGCGCTTGACCTCCCGCCACTCGACCTGTTTATACAACTATGGCAGCGCTAAGAATGTATCATCTGGGCTTGTGGACGGGAAACCAGGAACCTCACTCCAAAATTTTGGAAAGGGCTATACAATACCAACCTCTGGTAACAGCTCGCTGTGATAAAATCTCGACTACTCTTACATTTGATAGCAGATATCAAATAGAACTACTAGAAACCAAAAAGGACTGGTCGGGCACAGACGAACTACGCATTTACACTGATGGATCCAAAATACCAGGATTCGGATCAGGCGCAGGAGTCTTCTCACTGGACCTTAGCATCCATATATCAACAGCTCTGGGTAATCACAGCTCAATATTCCAATGCGAATGTATAGCCATTAATCAGGCCGCCAGCGCTGTTATTAATAGGAAAGTCAAAAACTACAAGATACGTATATTATCTGATAGTATGGCTGTCCTAAGAGCCCTAGATAGCAACAGCAAAACTTCTGGGCTAGTATACGAATTTCACCTGACATTGGAGTACATAGCAACGGATAACAAGGTTATCCTCCAATGGGTCAAGGGACATAATGACGCAGCCGACGAACTAGCAAGAAGGGGATCATCACAGAGAGTGGAAGGCCCTGCGCCACTTACCTTTCAATCAGTTTCGTACATGGGTGCGGCAACGAATCACACATAACCATACGCGTTACAGATAGTTCTCTGTGCAGAGGATGTCTGGAAGCAGATGAAACGGCCGCTCTTGTGATCCTGGAATGCATGAGCGTTGCAGAATACCGGGCATCAATCCTCAAGAAGCCGAGGACGCTCCTAGAAGCCTGTGAGAGCCCCAGGAGGCTACTGCGCTTCTGGAAGTAGCTGGCCTGGCTGAGCTAGCTAGCTCAACATACCCTGCACGCACAACGGACCAAGGACGGAGTATATGTGCGGAAACGGGGGCCCACAACAAGTAACAAGTAGAGTGAGTTTAAGTTAGTTGCGTTGCGACCGAAAAGTGTCAAATTTTCTATTTCATTTCGGCATCGTCATTCGTCATTGCGTGTTTTGTTGGTGTTGTGGTTTGTTTTTGTTATCCACACCCCGAATTTAGAAAGAAACAGTTAAATTGGTAAGTAAATGATTTTAAATTATTATATTGCATGTCGTTAAAGTATGGGGGTTTTAATTATTTTTGAAAAGAGCTGTTTGTGGAGAGAGAAATAAGTGCAAATATTTTTCTAATTTGTATTGTATGTATTGAACTGCAAATAGCTAAGATAGAAATTATGATATAAATAAACGTTTAATTAATGGTTTCTACCGCAATTGTTTTCGACTTATTTTTATAGCTTTACCCTTTGATTGACAATAATTGTGTGGCATTTAGTATTAGTAAATTATTGCAAAGAACTAACTGATTGATTACCAACATATCAAACAATAAACCTTGAGTCAATGAGTATTTTGTTTTATTTACAAGATAAATTTATTTAGGTTAGGTACCTACTTACTATTCCTCCGCAAACTAACTTTATTATACTTAATTTTGCTAACTTTAGCTTAATCCCGGAAATATCGAAAATACCGGATTTTCGGTATAGGTCTAGAGCCAATACCGAAAATACCGGTTTTGCTGAAATGATTCGGTATTGCGACCCCTAGTCTGTCGTCATATTGCGACTTGCGACTATTTGCCGTATTTGCGGGTTCAATTCCCGTACAATAATGTATTTTAGTGAGTTGTCTAATATTGTCGCTAGATGGAAGTAGAATAGTTAATCATACGTTCCTTTATACGTTATATCTATATCGATTGAAAAATCATTTATTTTTCTCAATTTCACGCGATTAGCAATACAAACATAAATAGAGGTAACAAGATAGATCTAATTATCTGTTTTCCTGATTTATCTGATGACCATTTTAGATGTAATTAGACGAAAACTTATTGCGCATGTTCCATTTCATCGATTTAAACTGCAAAGAACGCAGTTTGACATTAATGTAGATGGCGTGACTAGCTCTGAGCGGAGTTCGTCGTTTCCTCTCCCCTCGTTCCTTTTGTGACATTTCAGGAAACGTCCATCGTGTTTCCTTGTTAAAATTATTTAATAAAATCACATTAGGGCATGGTCGGTAAAGTTTTTCACGCAAAAAACCGTAAAATAAAATCATCAATCGTGGTTAACTTTTTACGGGCCAAGTGCAACTAAACTATCAAGATTCCGCCGATAATTCAAAGCCTACCCAGTGGGTGGCTTATCTTGGTAAGTCTTTTTTATAATTTTCTATTACGAATACATTTTTAATGGTATTTAAGAAATGTTTTATACCTTTATTTTAGCTATGCGACGAAATAATCTGTTAAATTCCTTTATACATTAGTCATCATGTGACTGAACACGTTCAGGGCTTACGAGTACATTATTTCTAGAAATTGCGACGAATATCATTTAAAAAAATGAACAAACATTTACTGTTTTCTACGCTTTATAATGTCGTTACAATTTAATCGCATGTCTGTGATTACTGTTAAAAGATGATGTTGTTCATGGACTCACTGCCTTCATGTTGGGTGCAAATATTGCAAAATATCTATTGAAATACGATTGTAGGTTGTGAAATATTTTTTACATTTAGTCGTCATAGTAAAGCTATTTAGGAAATGTTGAGTTATAATAGCAATATTGCTTCAAATGGCAATTGCTAAAGCTATTTCACAATTTGGGAAACCTATTTGAAAAGGCGACACTCTGACCAATTATTCTAATGTTTTAGTAATTTGGGTACATTACATAGAAAAACTATATAATATAAAATTAAATTATACACAGAACTTTATCAAAAATATATTTATTTATTATGCTTGCCGAGTTAAGTATAATATGTTGTATGTGTTTCTGTATAACTCATGGGTTAGAATCTATATAATGCTACTTTTATCAATTCACATCATATTTCTTTTTCCAAATTGTGCAGCAGTATGATATCAGCTGATCATTCTTTTAATCTAACAATATAAAGTGAACATAGCTCCATTATTTGGCAACTTATTTTGGTTTTAAAAATCTGCATCCAATGATCTCAATAAAATATTGATGTATTTTTAAATATTATGTACAATATTGGTGAAATGAATAAGCGTGTTTCACAGCTTTGCTATTATATTGTTTATTTATTTTATGTAATTACTACATAATTTCTAAAAATCCATTTTATTTATGAGTTTGATGGATTTTGTTAATGTGCATGCCTTAAGTTTTGTTTTTAAAAGAACCTTTGTCAAACACGCTTCTCCATTTCATTTTAGGTGTGAATTTTACATAAGAAATGAAAAAGAATCAAGACTCATTCTTCTTGCCAAAGAAGACAGATAAAAATGATAAGCAAAATAAGAAAAATAAAAAATTTGATGATAAACGTAAAGAACAATTTAATAAGAGTAGGGGAGTAGAAGAAAAATCTGAAAACACAGATAAGAAACCTTTTGATAAAAAGACTTATCGATTGAAAAAGTACAGTAAGAAGTACAAATTAGAACAATGGGAAGAGCAACGAAAGAAGAAGCTGTTACGTGACTACTACAAAGAAGTGAAGAATGATCCGGTAGTAGGGTCATATAAACCCAAAAATTTTGATGAAGATGCAACAGATTCAGTTGAGGTTGGCAGATTTGTGAAACATCCCGATCTATTAGAAAAAGAAAACCAAATTCGGCATGCTAAAAAGGATCCATTTCATAAAGCAAAAGAGCATTACAAGAAAATAAAAGAAGAGAAATTGCAAAAACAGCAAGAAATCGAGAAAGCTAAAGAGGAGAAGCAAAAGAAGCTGCAGGAATACAAGAAGAAGAAGCAAGAAAGATTTAAAAAGCTTAGCAAGAAAACTAAGAAGGGACAGCCTGTGATGACAGGAAGACTAGAGTTGCTTTTGGAAAAGATTCAGAATAATTCCAATTAATAAAAAAACAGGATGCTGTGCATCAATGAGATGCTATTTTTATTGTCTTTGATTTTTCAATTGATAAACAAAATCTGTTTTTAACCAGCTTTAATCATAGGCACAAGTAATTTTATGATAAAAAATAGCTGAATTGCAGGCACAAGTTATATAAAATGCCAGTAAAACATCCCATTTGTACCTACACTTGTTGAATTTAAAACACATAAGGTCATATTAGGAGATAATATCGTACTGCGATTTTTACTCTTATAGCGGCATATTGAAGATGTTGCCAGCTACCAGATTGATCCAATTATGATAGAAAATAAGGCTAATGAAAAAACTTAGTTGATAAAGTCATTATTTATTCTTAAGCTCACACTGGTAAACTTGTTTTCTCATGCATAACATACAGTAGTTACTATATGTACTACTATTGATATTTTAAACATTCACTGAAATAATGGAAAGATCTGGCAACACTGACAGTATCATAAATTTAGATTGAAAATCACTCTTACTTACATAGAAGTAGAGGGTAAGAATATTAACTGTATGAAATTACATACATAACTCATGCATGAATGACTGTTTATATAAATAAAAACTAGAAAAACATACATATTGATAGAAGTTTATCAAGAAGATGGTCTTGAATGTAAAATCAAATCATGGGTTGGATTGTATGTTGGTTGAGGGTCAAGTTTTAGATCCGTATTATAGAATAATAACTAAGTGTTGATCTTCACTTGAGTACAGTTAGAAAGGGATGTCACTGTATATAGCAGATAACGGCATCCCTTTCTAAATGTGCTAAAGACTAGATTAATCACTGAGAATCTTTCTCTATTACGGGCCTTGTGTTGTTGTTTATCTCACGGTTATTTCCACCACTAATGTGATAAAATAAATTAAATTCTCTTTTCTAGTGTTTTAACATGATTAAGAGATCAATGTGGTTTTGTTAAAGAAAGTGTTGGTTTATTTCTCATTAAACTACGAAACTGCGTTTTGTAAACAGTTTATTTTCTTAAAAATTGTGAATTTTTTAACTAAATAAGTACTAAAGAAAAGTGTTTGTGAATAAAAAATGAATTGAGGTAATGTTTGAATTCTATATTTTCTGCATTTCCCTTCAGTTGGTCAATAGCTATTTTCATGAATACCTAGGTACTTAATTGTGTCCGGTCTTGTCGTCTTATTTCCAGGGATGTTTTTTGAAAACTGGCTCTCTGCAATTTACGATTTGAAAATATAGGAGTAACAAATGACCTTTGTATGGCCTTTTCCGCCCCTCGAAGCCTGCCGATCCAGCTCATGGCTCTCTTGACCCTTTTTTTTACGCAGGCAAAACCTCTATTTACAGACGATGGCGCCCTTAAGGGGCATACCAACGAACGGACCTCACGCCTAGCCCCTCGCAAGTCTCACGGGTGCGAAACGGAGAAACTGTTCAGCAGTCCGCGCGGCTTACGATCGCTTACGGCATACTATCCGCTAAAAAACCCTGCGAATAGCCTCCACGCTGTTAGGTGCGGAACCGCGAGATCCCCGTTGAGGGATTTCAGCGCGTCTATGGCCCTCTTGGTCCTAGGGCGAATACAGAAACAGGTAGAATTAATTAGAGTCATCCATCATGTAAGGCGGACCGAGACCTCTCTCTGGTCACTGGCCGTGTTGAGCCTCTTACAGCACCTCCTGGGCTACAAAGTCGCGCCACATTTATATATTTGCGCCATATACGGGAGACCCGACACATCCAATTATGAACGATGCCAAACGCGATCTCATGAAACCGCTTTGGGTTTGACTGGCTAGATGACAACATGGCAACAATATATACCTACCTAATAATCACAATGTTTCTTCAAATGAAAGGTTATCCGTATTAATTATTATACACGTGGTGTATAATTGGCGCCATTGAAGTAAGAACAGTAACGATAAAAGAAAACCAACAAACCAATGACCCTAAATGAAAGGTTAAATATTATTATTATAATATGTCAACTTGTCTCTTCATTATCGACACTAGGAGTAGCCGTGATTTTTGACGTATTAAAAAGTGATATTACTTTTTTAGGCCGTGTTTGTTTGTTTATATTATTACTGTGATAAATGAACCGTTTAGTTATTTAACATTGGGTAGGTACATATTTTGTTGCATTTAATCAGCACTTATCCGGCTTCATGTGGGAATTGCGAGATGTTAAATTAGTTCAAAATATATGTATAATGGTGTCGATTCTGTCGTGATTTTCTAAACTTAAAACTAAATTTAACATCAGTCTCTTTTTCATTCTGTTTAGAGAATGACAAAGATACACTCTTGTCAAATTTAAGTTTAGGTTTAGAGAATCATGTCAGAATCGACACCACTACCACATTAAAATAAGATATAGCTTTCAGGGCTTCACGGGGCAGGGGATTGGGTCAGCAGGGTAGTCAGCGCGGTTGATAGCTTTGGATTTATCGCAAGCGTCTTTAAATAACAAAATTTATGTGGTCTACAGGTTACGGTGGTCGCTTACCTTCAAGCGAGACATATGCTTGTTTGTCACCCTTTTAACTTAGATTAAAACAAAAAGGGAAGATACGTCACTCGCGGCTCAAAAGTGATCCGCTTAAATTGTGGTGCACGACCACAATTCGCTTTAGTCACAATTGGATATTCAAACACGCTGCATGTGCACTCAATATAACAATATTGCGTATTTTCTGTCATAAAGATAAAACAATGCCTCGACAACACTTCTCATTCGTAAAACTGTAAAATCTTTTTTTTTTTAAATCACGGTTTAAATGTTATTTACGTAATCGCCATTTTGTTATCAAGAAAAGGACAACAATACAGCTCAGCCGTGCGGACGCGCCGTTTCGCTCGACGCGCTCTGCGTTGAAGCGTACAGTTTTGTCTCGCTCGCTCGATTGAATTTACAAACGTGTGCGTGTGTGAAAGCTACATACATAAGTAGTTGAATCGCATTATATTTTATTTGATGCTAGTATGAGCGTATCGTATCTTCCCTTTTTTGTTTTAATCTAAGCCTTTTAACATATAAAATACTTCTCAAGCTTACAATATTATTAATTTACGCACTTGGTAACGACACTGGCATCATAAATTGTTTATTAGACTCATTACAACGTCTGAGAGACAGAGACTCGCGTGGCGTTATCAGTATTTGCGTATTTACTCAATCTCGGTGTAATAGAGGTTATTATATAGTTTATCGAGCTTATTAGTGCTTTTCTGATACCAGGGTTGGCATAGGTATAGGATGAGAGGAAAGTACAGAGAGATGATGAATTCTATTTAGTCCGTAATCAAAACGCGATGGACACATTTTTTCTTTTGTCAATCAAACATAAAATACAACGTTAAAGCGTGTCAAGTTAAAATTGGAACAAGACGTGACGTGAAACGACATTTCAAATCAATATAGCTCTGTAATGTTTTGATTATGTAAATAAAGAAGAAATGCGTGTCCAATAATTATTGATAATCTACCTCATAGACGAAGAATAAAAATAGTCGTCATCCTTTTTGGGCTTAGAGCATAGCTTTTGGGAGCGATAATCTTTACTTCATCCTTAACCGCGTCTCAAATATACCACATTTGACATTGATTGAATCAAAGATATTGTTTGGAGTTTTTCCAGCTCTGTCGCTTACATAATATTGTTTATTAGTAAGATTGATAAAATTATTCCATTACGCAAGATGAAAAATTTTTCCCTAACATGTCCCTAACAGGGTGACTCTGCATACATCAGTATCGCTTACAATTTAAAATTATTAAATGTTTTATTTGTAAAATCCTTTTCCGAATAAAAAACATCTTTTTGACCATCACTGGCTGATAAAATCTTGGATAAAACTTTAACCACGATTTTTTTTTTAACGAATTATGTGTACAAGCTTACTTTAAATTCTGGTGCACCGGGCCATTTACGATTTGCATGTAGAAGAAATGCATAGGGTAAATTCAATACGTCCCTGAATACAAACATGCTTTTCTCAATGAGAATCAATCACATAATACCAAATCTGATTTTGACTAAGTACATCATATGCGCAATAAATTACTGAGCATTTTATTTTATGAATTACTATAATCCGTCAAGAAATGATGGATTTATTAGTTTGAACGGCTCCTTTGAAACGCGCGCTCACAACCTGTTTGTTTCCTCAATGATAGTGATCGTTAATGGCCTAATTAAGAGCAGCGCACAAGAATCGGCGCTTCGGCGCGTGCTGTTTATTATGTCGATTGGTTATCAATTATATCTTAGCTTATGCTAACAGCGTGTACTACCAAATTATTCAAAATAAATGTACTCTTTTTAACTCTTAGGCTCTTTGGCCTCTATTAAGAGGTAGGGAATAGCGGATTTTTTAGGGCAGCTGTCTGGGGAAATAACCTCCTCCACCTTACAGAAGACTACAGTAAAATAACACTACCTTTTGGTTGGGTTGTGTGTCTGTCCGCGAGTAAGGTTCCAGGACTCCACGGGGTAGGCAAATCGAGAGTGATATTTTTTGTTTCGCAAGCGTCTGTAGTACCATCAGGCGGGCCATATTGCCATCCTTTCTACATAAAAAAATAGAAAACAAAAGTAATGCTAAATGCTTGATGCACTGTCTTCTTACCGTTTCCTAGATTCATTTATTACTTACTAGTAGCGAATTCGTCTGTATGAAACAGTTGGTTTCTTCTTCAAACTTCCGCCCCCTTTTCCACAGCCTTAAAGGATGTTTCTGGGACAAAAATTACACTGTATCCTTTGCCGGGACTAAAACTTATCTTTGTATTAAATTTCATCTAAATCGGTGTAAAGAGCTAACAGCCGGAGACACTTACGGATGTGAATCGCACAGCGATATTTTTAATATCGTTTAAAACCAAAAAGGTGAGACCTTGACATTAAAATCTAAATCATTTCACTGGACATAATCATAAATGCGATAAATCTAATCACTTTGCTTTTATCGTCGAATAGTCAGTCACTCAGCAACATAGTATTTTACAGTCCAAACAACGTTTTATTAGCTGAAATAAAATATGATGAAAATCCTCCGTTATGTAATTAGTGCCGGCTTGAGCTGTCTAAATAATGCAAAAGTTGATTTTTTTATTAAACAAAGGAGACATTGTTTATTTTTGTTATTTATCACCTTTGATAAGGTAA